ATATCTTGGTGACCCTATAAAACTACTTGGTAAGATTATTTGTTTTCCAATATCTTTTGGTTTTATTCCTTTTTCAATAGAATCCATTAAACCGTTATATAATTCAGTTCTAAGTTTTGATTGGTTGTATGTTAAATAATTTAAATTGCTTTGTTCTATTTTGACATACATATCCACAATATATTGCAAAAATAATCGACTAAACAAATGAGCATTGCTCAATCCTTCTCTATAATAAAATAAATATTTATAATAATTCAATATTGTGTAATGTTTATTTCCTTTTATTTCTTTAAGTTCAACGCTCCAACCATATTCTCCGTAAGGATGAATTAGTGGATAAGATAATGGATCATAAAGTTTGCTGTTTTGATGAATATGTTTTGGTTTATTGTCTCTATATTCTATTACAATATCTCTATTTTCAGTTGGTTCATTTGGCATTAAAACGGCTATATCTGGACAATCCTTTGAAGGAAGATTATGTGTTTTTGGATCTCTATTATGTTTTGCTAATAATTTAACTCTTATATCATTTTGAAATTGGTTATTTTTTAGTCTTTCATATATAGTTTTTATTTCTTTAACATGCAAATTGGTTTTGTGTAACATATTTTGTAATATTTTTATAATTTTCGGATTTAAATTAGGCATTGCTTCATGCCTTGTTTTTAATTGTTCTTCGGTATCATAAAAATATATTTGCATAAATTTTGGAGACTGATTCATATTTGGCAATAATGAACCAATATTATGAAACATTTGTCCAGATATTTTAAACGTATAAATTCCTTTATTTGGAAATTTAACAATATTAGTTCCAAGAGATGTGAAACTTAATATACTATTGTATCCTCTGATATCTTTTCTAAATTCCTTAGATTCTTTATCATTTTTTGTTAGTAAATCAAACAAAATTGAAGGCAATTGTTTATGTTTTGGAATTTCAATTTTACCGTTACAACAACACGGTGACTGACTTCTATTTTTTATTTCATTTTTAAAAAATAAAGCATTACAAAAATTGCATTTATTACTTAATAATCCTAAATATGAATTTGTACTATTTATATCCCAGTTATTTTCACGGGCTATATTGAACGATTTATTTTTTGGTTGTTTTTTGGTTTTATTAGTTTTGGTTGGAGCAAATATAGTAGTATTCTGTAGATCATTTATTTTAGCATTATCAATAGCAGCAGTATTTATAGTATACATCTGCGCATCATTTAATGCAGCAGTATTCATAGTATACATCTGCGCATCATTTAGTGCAACAGTATTCATAGTATACATCTGCGCATCATTTAGTGCAGCAGTATTAATAGTATACATCTGCGCATCATTTAGTGCAGCAGTATTAATAGTATACATCTGCGCATCATTTAGTGCAGCATTATTAAGTATTGAAAAAAGAATAGGGGAAGTGAGGGCAGTTTGGGTAGATAATGATGGTGGTGATGATGGTGATGATGGTGATATTGTTGATGGTGGTGATTGTGTTGATGGTGGTGGTGATGGTGATGTGGTATCCATATCTTCACAATATAAAATTTTTAATCATTTTTTATTTATTAAATTTACGATACATTTAATTGTTTGCTTTAAATATGTTTATTTTAATGGTTTTATAAATTTATTATGGAAACAAAAAATAATTACCACTCGTTATCGTGTATTTAATGGTTAATTAGATGTCAATCAGTGCCCAAAAATCAATGATATGGCTGAATACAATCACTCAAAATCATACAAATATTAGTCTCACAAATATTCACAAAATAAACAAAACATTAATTTAAAAAATAGTGAATAATTTTCATTTTGCCATTAAATCAAGAATATTATAAAATTAAAAACAACATTAAATAAAAGTTTATAACACATACCTATTGCTCATTGTGTTGTAGTTTTAATTCAAATTAAACGCCAAATTATTATTAAAAATTAATTAAACAATTATAATTTAATTTTCACGATTCCGTTATATATTTCTTCGAGAGTTATATATCATTGAATTTAATGCAAAATTCAATTATTAAATCACTTATTCAATTATTAAATAGTAGGCAATATGTAGTATTATTTTGTTTTAAAAAATCCTTTTAAACTTCAAACAAATTAACCAAAAGTTATTTTGTGTATAGATTTATAAATCACACAAAAAAATCTCACATTAAAGTCAAACTTGTGTTTCAATTGAGATTTAAAATGCATTTCATTTCACAAATCAAATAATAATTTAAGCCAAAAGTTTGTCCAAAAGAGTTATGGTATTCTTATGAATGAAGGCATCAATAGATTTAATGGTACGTATAGTGTGTATATTAAATATGCAAAATGTTAGATATGAAATGAGTAATTAATTTCAATTTCAATGTATTCAATGCATTCAAATGACCATGAATTTTAATATTGTTTTACTAAATAAACAATGTTACTTTTTATTAGATTATGGAATGCATACACCCACTTTTAGGCGATTATTTTATATATATTATGATTATTCTATATACATTATAAATGATACTAAATTGATTATCCATTAAAGCAATTTGAGACTAAATATAATGTCTTAAATAATAAGATTTTTAACCAGATATAAGACTGGTCCTCAAATTTACTGATTTATAGAATTGTTCAATAAACTATAGTTTATGTAAATTAGTAATCGACAAATAAGTTGGCTTAAATGTTCTATTTTAAAATTACATTTGAATTAGACTGAATTTCGAATTGCTTATAAATTACTCAGAACTTAAGAATTTATAAGTTATCCAACAAAAATTTGTAGATACAATTGATAACATACTTGGCACAAATTCTATGAATACAAGTTTATTAAATTAGAAATATATTTATAATAAATGATTATAATTATCAAACCAAACATTATTTGTATTTAAAGTTTGAATAACATTCAAGGAAGACTGTTGTTATTTTATTTTACGCTGACATAATTGAAAGTAATTAAATTACTGTAAATTGAAATTTTGAAATTTACATTATATTTTTTTTTAAATATTTGATATATTTTGTGTGTTTTTAATTTTATTTGTAAAATTTATGTTAAACTGAAATGTTAAATTATTAGTACTATTATTTATGTAAGTGATTGCGTTGTTGTACGGTTTCATTGGCAAAGATATAATTAGTTCAGTGAAACAAGTGGGTAATACAACAATATGAAATCATTTAAATAAAATAAATCACTTTACCTGATTTAAGACGGGTTCCCAATTCATGGTTTATTCAATTGCATTTTTACCCCTACCATTAATTAAAAAAGGTACATTACAGAATTGGAAAAATTGTAAAAATCAATTCTCTAAAATATTTATTTTTTCAAAATTTTAATTATAACATAAAATTAATAATAATCAAACATGATTTATTCAAATTGAAAAACAACAAATAACATAATAAGCTAAAATTTGAGCCCGGTCACACTTTCTATCCACGGTATGTACGGTTCTACTCGAGTGAACACGCTGGGTGAAAAGGCCAAACCACAACCACGTGCATCGGTGAACGAGACAATACCCTGAGCGACGTACGCACCATTGGCCAGTTGGCAGTTCAACGATCCACCGCTATCACCCTGACAGAAATCTTCGCCGCCAAACAAATAGCCGGTGCAAAGTTGTGTCGCGGGTCTAAATAGCGCTCCCATTTCAATGAGCACAAAGCATTGTCCACAATAGGCAATTGTACCTGGCGCAATGTTCTTGATTCAGTGCCATTTGTCGATGTGACGCCCCAACCCGTGACCGTACACTTAGCGCCCGCCGGGATATTCAACCCCCGGGGCGGCAGACATATCGGCTCCAGAAAGCTATCCCGACCGTTGAAGTCGAGCGGTCTATCGAGTTTATAAAGTGCGATGTCGTCTTTGAAATTGGTCTTGTTGAAACCATTCAAATAATGCTAAAATAATTATTTTATTATTATATTATATTATAAGTAGATTACATACAATATAATAACATAAATTCAAAATCAAATAACAAAACGAACCTGAGATATATTAACATAGATTTGGTTGCCTTCCTCTTCATCACCAAATGTAGCAAATATTGAGTTAACGGTGTAATCGTCGGGCCATTCATTAGTACAGTGGGCGGCCGTCAGTATCCACTGATCGCTGATCA